GAAAAAAAGAAAGAAGAAATAAAGAAACAGGCAGAAATCTGGACTAAAAGGTCCACTCTGGCTAAACAGTGTTGACTATTTTTATTCTAATTGAAGCCTATGCATAGTGGGTGAGAAACGAGCCACAGAAGGGAGAAGAATTTAGGTTTGGTCAAAGGAGAGAGTTCTGGCTATAGCTACAGTGTGGCTATCAAAGGGAATTTCCACAATTTCTTTTTAGGTCCTTGGGCCACAGTGTTGAGTAAATGAAGAGAGAAGGATCAACAATTAAAATATCACCACTCATATACTCCATATATATTACAAAAAGATTTCATTCTCATATGTAATCTAGCTTGATTTTAGCCATAATTCTTTGAGGGAAAGTAAGGAGTCTCAATCCCGGTGCACAGCTGATGAAGTGGGGTATTTAACCTGGACACTGCCGTGTGGCAGCAAAGTGGCAGGATGCAGATTTGCAGCTGACAATAACCCTTTCGGAGAAAGATTACAGTGCTCCGTTTACCCACAAGAGGTTCAGAGAAGTAAAGCTACTTCCTGGGGGTCACACAGCTACTGACGGTCAGAGCTGAGATTAGAACCCAAGGGTCTCCAATCCACATCGCCAGGATATAACTATTCTCACAGGTAGACCAAGTCATCTGACTTAGCAGCTGTCCTTTTGCCCCTCAAAGAATCCCAAGTCATTGGCACAGATAAGTGAGTAGCCTGAACGAGGCCATGAGGCTCACGGAGGGAACCAGTCAGTATGGGCTGTCTCTTCATGGGCAACACCTACCTGAACCAGCAGCTCCAGCCTCCTATCATCCAGGAGGTGCACCTGGCAGTGCCTGCCCTCTGTCATCTGTGGGGACAAGATAGCAAGAGTGGCATCAGTGCTGGGGCTGGCAAGCAACCCCCTGACCTCGATTTATAGTTTGTTTTACATGTGATGTGTTCAGCCTAAAAATGCCTTCAGTTGAGTCAATCGACAGCCTCGATCACAAACAGACTCATGAGGCGGCATTAGCTGTTGGATTAGTCAACCAATCAATTAATTAATTTACTCTTGGATGTAAAAAAGAATGAAAAGCAAAGACAACCCAATATATTGAAAAAATAATGTCTATATAGTGTATACAAGATTATACTATGAAAAGTTCGTTTCTTTCCTAGAGGAAACTACTACATTTATCATTGAATCAATATTTTGTTTTTCAAAGGAAAATTCCTATATTCATTCATGTATTTTAATAAATAGAATACATGCATAATTGTAAAGGAAAAGATGACATTACAGTTAAAACTGAAAGTCTCCATCTCTGAAACGTCTGTCCCCTTTATAGTATATCACTACCATAATTAAGAACAATTACGAACACTTAAGATACATAGTTAAGAACAATATCCATCAGCATAAATTTCTTTTTTTTTGGGGGGGGGTGAAAAAGTTTTATTTTTTATTTTTTTTATTTATTTATTTTTATATATGAAATGACACAAATTATTTCATAATAACACTCAGTGTCAACTCCAAAAGGTGTTCCCTCCTCAATACCCCATCACCCACTTCTCCTCCCGCATCCCCATCAACCCCTCAGTTTGTTGTCAGTTTTAACAGTTTACTCTATATGCTTTGGCTCTTCCCACTTAACCTCTTTTTTTTTCCTCCTCCCATGGTTCTCGTTCAGTTTCTCTAGGATCCAGCATAAGGAAACTATATGGTATCTGTCTTTCTGCTGGATTTATGGCTTATTCATACATCACACTTCAGTTACCACGTTTGCTACAAAAGGCCATATTTCATTTTTTCTCTAGTTACGTAGCATTCATTTTGTGTAGTATAAACCACATTCTATTATCCATTCATCAAGTTGATGGACATTTAGGCTCTTTCCAAGATTTGCTATTGTTGGAGAGTGTTGCTATGAACATTGGGTACAGGTGCCCCATGCATCAGTAACTCCTGTATCCCTTGATAAATTCCTAGCATGTAGCGGGGTCATAGGTAGGTCTATTTTTACTTTTCATGAGGAAACCTCCACACTGTTCGCAAACGTGCCTACCAGTCTTGAGTATTCCACCAACAGTGCAGAGAGCTTCCGTTTCTCCACAGCTTAGTCCTTCCATTGTCATCTATAGTCTCCCTTGATTTGTTCATTTTGGCCACTCTGACTGACGTGAGGTGATACCTGAGTGTGGTTTTGATTTGTATTTCCCTGATAAGGAGCGACGCTCCATCAGCATAAATTTCTAATTATATTTATTGTCACTTATAATTGCAATACTGGGAAATATTCTTTGTCAAATATTTAAACAATACATAGAATACAAAGATCCCCCTTCACTAACTCACACTCCACAAATCATTTTACCTGTAGAAATCACCACCCTGTGAGTTTGAGGATAATCCATACAGACTGTTTTTACATGTATGTTCAGATATAGATATATACATATTTTCAAAAAATTCAGAGTAAAAGGTTTCCTTTGAATATTGTTATATTGGACATTACCTGAGTGAGAAAAAAGCCAGAGCAAGATTTAAAATAAGGTCTAACTGGACAACAACAAAAAAAGTCATCTTTTTTAATACTCTTCTTCTATACAGTGGGAAGAAAGAAATAAATATGTCAGTTCAAATCACTTTACTTCTTTTGTAAAACCCACACAAACAAACCCCAAAAACATGTACTATGGAAAGAGAAAAATCAAATACTCAAAAGATCAACTGATACAACATGAATCCATTAAGGAGTATGTCAAACTCGTACAATATTTCAAGTTACTCTGTTATCGCATAATCCAAATGAATTTTATTTCCTGATTTTAAAAAAGCATCTTTTTTTTCCTTTCCTTTTTCCTTTTCCTTTGCTCAGACTAGTCAATTTTCCTTTTGTCAACACATAATTCTATCCTAGAGAATTAAATAGTAAATGTATTTTTGTGTATGTGCATGTCTGCCCATCTCATGACAATCACAGTCAGTGGTGGCCATGTTTGTACAACTTGGTCCTAGCCCTTCAGCCTCAGACTTCAGCTGATTGGACCAGGGAACAGACACCTGACTCAAGCTGGGCCAATCAGAGCCTCAGTCCAGAGAATCTGGAATTGGAGGGGATCATCATCGGAGAGGATGAGAAAGTGGTTGCTGTAGGGGCTGTGGTGTGTGGACAAAAAGGAAAGCAATCTGCAGAGAGAATGAAGGAGACAAGCAGCTGGACGGGGCCAAGAGAAATCATGCAATCTGAAAGGGAAAGCTCGAGAGAGTTGCTGTCTGGGTTCCTAACGTCTTTCTAGTCACTTGTAGTCACTTCGGCTGGTTCGGGTGAATTCTTGTTCTTGAGTTCCATGAAACACCTCTGTATTCTTTTAATAAATCCACTTCTTCTTTCTTATTGAAACTAACTGGAGTCAGATTCTGCTCCTTGCAACTAAAAGCATCTTTGTAAGATACCACAGGTATCTATACCTAAATCAGAACAAAAGGTTTCCAAAGGATGGACTCCCCACATGATATCATTAATATAGAAGTCATCTACTCATAATCACTGATCAACAAATACAACAGCCAAGAGAAAGATTGGGGGGTTGGGGAATGAACAAACATCCCAGTAGGTGAAGGGACAAGTCGCCACATAAGACAAGCTGGAAAAGGGCAATGCAGATGAACCGGAGGAGAAAAAATGCTACAGTTTTATGCCCACACTGGCACATCCATGTTCAGTATTCACCGAGCCCTTTCCTCTGTGGGAGGATGCCTCCTCGGGGAGGCCAGAGTACTGCTTTGATCACCTCTAAGCAATAGAGAGGCCTGCCCTTGTCACTTGCTTAAATCAGAGGTTGAAAAGTTGTGGATGTATTTTTTTTTTGTCAGAACAATGCTTATGAATAAATTTTAGTTGATGACATTAGAAATCAGAAGATGCCACTTAAGAAAAATGTAGATGGTATGATCTGGAAACACTGGGCTGGATGTCCTCCATGGCAACATTTGGCCAGGGTAGGGCAGAGCAGCTCCCTCTTTAGATGGGGTTTGTGGTCTCTGCTTCCCCAAAATTTATTATCCGCCAGGTTCCTAGGAGTCCTGTCATGAGAATAAGCAAACCCCTATTTAAGTTCACATGGTACCAGGGAAGAGACAAAACAATGTCAACCAGGGCCTGCTGTGCACCAGGCCAACTGCCTGACACTTGACCTTCATTAACATATAGTATTTCAACTACTATGCAAGCCTATGAAAGGGGCATCCTCATTTTGTTTTGTACTGTTTTGTTTTGGGGGACATCCTCAATTTAAGCACCAGGAAACCACGGCCTGAGAAATGATGTAAGTTGCATAAGCATTCTAAGCCAGACTTGGGCTCAAAATCATATTTTATCTCTTACTAGCTGTGTTACCTTGGAGAAGATACTTAACCTTTCTGCGCCTCATAAGCAATGTCCTGGTAGCTTTCAATCTGATACCCCTGAGAATGAAATAAACCACTTCGACAAAGACAATTATTATACTCCTTATTTGCCTAAAATTTAACAAATAGCTAATAAACCTTCCTATAATTCATTTATTCTCCCATCAAAAACATTTTTATTTTTTAATTTAGAGAGAGATGGAGAGCATGAGTGGGGGTGGGGGGCAGGGGGAGACACAGAGAGGGAGAAAGAGAGTCCCAAGCAGGCTTTGTGCTGTCAGAGAGGAGCCCAGTGAGGGGCTCGATCCCATGAACACTGAACCCTGAGATCATGATTTAAGCTGAAATCAAGAGCCAGATGCTTAACTGACTGAGCCACCCAGGTGCCCCTAAACATTTTTCTTTTTTCTTTTAAGTTTATTTATCTATTTGAGAGAGAGAGAGAGAGAGAGAGAGAGAGAGAGAGGGAGAGAGAGGAAATCCTAAGCAAACTCATGAACTGTGAGATCATGACCTGAAACCAAGAGTCGGACACTTAACTGATGGAGCCACCCAGGCGCCCCCAGAATCACTTTTGAACTCCATAGACACCATCCGAACATTTTCAGGCTTGATCCCACCCCAGTGGCACCCTTCCTCACGTGGAATAAAAACATTAAAAAATCATCTCTTCGGAAAGTTTCACTTACCACCCACACAGATTTGATACCCTTCCTGCCATTTCCTCTTCCATTCAACCCCAGGAAGATGAAGATTAAAAATCGTACATATTGGATTAAAACTCCCACCTCAGTCTGTGGCTGCCCTGTGTTTGCACCCCAGTTGGTGGAGCGGGTCCTCTGATGCTAAGCGCTGGGTGCTGGTGGAAGGACCTTGTCCATCTGGTCACCGGTCAAATGAGGAAGAGCAGAGGGAAGTGAGAATTGGGCACAGGCCAGACCTCTGGCTTCGGGGTGTGCCCTGAGGCCCTGACCTGTAGCCCATAGTGGGGTTCAAGTCTGTGTGAAAACGCCCCACCCCCAGCCCCCAATACCACGACCTGATTTAGGAGAGAAGAGAGGAGGAAGACTTGGTAAGAAATCCAAAGGCGAGTCCAGATAGGGCAGTGTGGGACCATTCATAACAACCGGGGTCAACTCATAAAGTAAGAGGAAATCACAACTACAGAAAAAGACCAGAACCTTAGCCCTGCTTGGGTTTTGCACTAGTGGTTCTTTGGAACAAGGAAATACGAAAGCTTGGTAAGGGAAGTGGCAAGCTGCTTTCCTTTTTTCTTTCTTCTTCTCTCTTGTTCTTTTGACCTTTTCTGAAAGCCTAACATGAGAGGGTCTACCCCATAAAAATGACTCCTCAGGATTTTTTGCGGGGTGACCCATCCGAAGTCTAATTCGCCATCATCCCTTGCCTGGATATGTGCAAAACCGGCTGTCTAACCAGGCTCCATGCTTTTATTT